AGCTCGCAAGCCCACCCACATGCACAGAGAAACGCCAGGGGCCCACACTCGGTACTCCGGAGAGTCGGCTCTGATACCATTTGTAACGCCCCGACCCTTTACACGTCATTGATATTGTCCACTTTGGGCCACGGCCGCACGGATTTGTTCTTCCTAGTGGGTCACCCATCTTAGAACTACTCCAGCCTAAGCACACTTAACTGAGGAGTTCTAATAGGGATTTCACCACTTGGGAAAAGGCCTCGATGCTATATAAGGGTCTAGGTTTTTACTTTTATAGCCCAGGAACTCCCCCTCCATTCCCGATGTGGGACACCGGGCCTTACACCTCCTCTCGCTGATCTGGGCAGTCTATTGTTGTACTTGTGGACACGTGTATGGATGGGGTTAGAAGGAAGTCACACCTGGGCTCAAGTATGAGTGGTGTGAATACTTTTGATTCTTTTACCGAATAGTGCAATACATGTGTCACGTTTCTGCTGGATCCATAACAACTGATCCTCTCTGATCAACTTCTTCTTTTCTAACACCAACCTCCGAAATTGATGGACCAGGATCAACATCACTAGTTCCATCACCACCTCTGCGTACATCAATCTTAGACAAACTAAGATGACCTCTGCGTTTATGAATAACTGAACCACTTTCCCCAAAACCTCCTAACAACAAATCTCTTCGCCTCTCCGGTAAACCCACATATATAGTCCGGGTCAGAATCGGAATGGCCTTGGTTAGAGCATAGTGCCAAACATCAACATTATCATTATTATATTTTTTAGATAACTCAACAATAGATGTGGTCCTCATCTGCGAATTTTTTGGCATATCACTCATAGAATACTTCAAATACCACTTCATTTTACAATACGTAATCCCCCTTTTAATATTAGAATTTTCAAGTTGATACTTCACCATCGATGACACCTGTTTGTCGTTAATGGAACAATAGCCATTCCCATAATACATTAACTCGCACTAGCAATCCACAGGGAAAATAAAGTATGCCTGCAAATTGTCATTACCATCTAATCTCCTGTCATACACATTTACTCTGACCAACCCACTAGCATTGGGTGCGCAAATGGGGGAATATTTTATCAACCTTAATACTCTTTTGTATGTCCCTCAACCTCAACTAAGAAAGTAAATTAGGCAACGCAAGTTCAATACAACTGAAATCACTTGCTGAAACGCCTTCAACAACACTAGCTTTTATATCGTCCACCTCCATTTACCTGAACATTACAAATAAAAATACATAAATTTATAATTCTAAACAGTTTTAAAGCACATTTGAATTCTTAACGTAAATATGCATTCTTTTCCACTAATAGTAGCAGACACTAAATATATGGCACCCTTCTAAATACTTCTAACATTTCTCAACAGCGTATCTTTATTGTTTGTCCAAACATCAACTGGGAAGAACTGCTCCATAACTTCTATCCCGTGACGAACATACTTTTTGTCCTTGCCACCAACGAGCTTGAATCTCATTTTCTTTAGCATCTGAAACCTATCGGACCGGTCAGGATCAACAATCTAGGTCTCAAGATTACCCTCACCAACTCCAATAAATATCTTGTCAGGTGTTGGAACAGAATCTGATAGACTATTATCACTTATGACAAAAAACAATACATGGTGGACACAGCATCATCTTTAGCATTTTGTCCCAATTGAACATTCCTAATTAATTGTATACCCTTAACCATGATCTTATCTGATTAACGGTCACATCTTTTATTACCCAACTCAATACCATTTAGTAATCTTGCCACACCTTTGTTATCAAATTTAACATCGTTTAATTGTTCATCGTACAGTTGTAACTTCCTTACTCACCTCTTAGTCTTCTTAATATATCGTGGAATATTCTAAACGTACCGTTTGCGAATGTACGCTACCTTAAAAGGTGCACGACTACGGTAACTATGCTTATATCCACTGGCCGCCGGTGTCATTGACCTCCGATATGCAAGGGAGTCCAATATTGGCTGCTTACTACTCCTTCTATTTTTTATAAAACACTCCAAATCTTTTATCCTACAAATTCTGCAAATTCTCTTACCTTTGCTAACCCTTTTGTTCAAACACATTAGCTTTGATATTTTTTCCCAGTTCTCTTCATACACTGGAACAAACTTCGTCGGAGCTGACCGCCGCCTCTTTTCCCAAAGTCCTATTTGCGATGTCAAAAAACGATCTACACATATTTGAGTGAACTACCCGTAATTCTCAGGATACTCTTCTAAGGAGTACAACATTGTATACCAATACAATCAACAAAAAAGAAAGACAGAAAATGAGGAACGAAACAATGTACTAGAAAACAACATCACCACAACAGCTATCCCACTGCAAAAGCATATTCCTCTCTCCCATCAAATGTTTTCTAATATCAAATAAATAGCAAAACTGGCCCACGTATAAGGACGGAGATTCCTCATTCAAAATAATTCAAAAGCATAATTATTTTTCCGTCTTTGCTTTATGTCAATTATTCTAAAAATATCTTTACTTTACAACCATGCAAACCACCAGAAACGCGACACGTGTATCGCACTATCCGACAAAGGAATCAAAAGAACTCACATCACTCACACCTGGGTCCCAGTGTCACTTCCTTTTGACCTCATCTATACACGTGTCCACAAGTACAACAATGGACGACCCAGAGCAACTCCCCGGGGGGGTGCTGGTAATATTAGTACAATGCCTCCCAGTCACACCACTCACCCCATTCACACCAGGTTTTTTAGCTAATAGGGAGGCCTTGTACGGCTGGTGTGAGTTCACTGTTTACCACTACAAAATACCTCGCCAAGCCTCCATTGAATTAAGTTGGCCTGTGTGTCCAGGGTGAAAGTCCTAAAAATCGCGCGTATACATGGGTGCCAATTTTCGCGGACCAAATTTTTGTAAAATTGTAAATTGAAGTGTTTGTGTAATGGTTGTGTTAGTTAGAGAACCACTAAGTTGTAACCTCAGTTGGTTTGTCTGGATAACAATGGACATGACTCATGAATTGAGGTGAAATGAATGTAGATAAAATGGATTGAGATATAAAACTTGGCACATTATGAACTTGTAAAATATGAATGATTTTACCATAAGCATTGTATATGTACATCATATTTATATCTTTATTAAGATTCATATATTGTATTAGATTGTTTCTACTAGGTTTTGGCTCACCCTACTTGGGAAAAACCATTTTTACATATTGGTGATATGCCTCCGCCAACGACTTAGCTTGGGAGGACTGTGGAGCTGAAGGCTCAATTTCTGTTTATTTTGTATTTACTTTTGAGCCTAGGGATTTATTTATATTAAACTTATGACTCATTTTGTTGTAACCAAGCACGTTATTGGAAAGATATAAGCATTTAGGGCATACAAATATCTGTGTAGCTTTCATTATTTATTACGTCTGGTAACACATGTTGTAGATTCAAGATGAACGATTTATGAATGTATATCGCATGTGTCACTTTTTGTCTATTAACTCTGATTAATGAAAACTTCTTATTGTATCTATATTACTTTGTATTGGTGTTTGAAGTTTGATTATTGTAATTATTTTGGGGGTGTTACCCTTGGGGCATGTTTGGTTTGTTTTTTAATTTTTTTTAAATAGAAACTAATTTGATAAAAATAAATATTAAAAAAATATTTTTAAAAAATTATTTCTGGGGCCTCCTAAAAGATAAAATTATATAAAAATGAAAAGTATCTTTAAATATTTTTTTATTTCTTTCACCAAATTAATTTTTAATTTTTTTTTAAAAAAAAAATTCTAAAAATCAAACCAAACATTGCCTTAAACTTCCTCGAACATCAAACCAACTTAGGGCCCTTATGACAACACACAAAAAATAGCCAAAAAAAAAAAAAAAATTAAAATCATTAAAAAATTAACTCTCCTTTATATTTTATTCACTTCTTTAAAAAAAAAAAAAATCAAATAGTCAACTAAAATAATTATTTCCTACAACAACTCTTAGTTTCTAGTGAATATTTTAAAAAAACTATGTAAACTTTTTGTACTTTTAATATCTTAGGTCAGTCTAGATTAAACAATTAAATTTATATTTTTAAATATAAATTTTGATTTTTATATTAAAAGTGAAAATAAATAAATTTGTATTAAAAAAATTATAGAAATTGGTTACTTTTTTTTCTTTAGTTGACAAAAATAACTCTTAAAAATAGCACAACTTGTAAGTTGAAACCAAAAAAATCCCTTAATAAGATAAATAATTTATATCTACAATCATGTATATACAAATAAGGAATTTGAAAAACACTCTTCTAAAAAAAATAAAAATATAATTTTTTTTTAGTGAAAGAAAAAAATTTACAAAAATCACAAAAAGAAAAAAAAAAATCTAAGGTCTAACCTAGTAAAAATCAAACTCCAATTTTGTAATTGTTTCAATTTAAATCTTGAATGTTTAAAATTATATTAATTTTAACCATCCATTTGTATAACTGATAGAGAAAATATAAATTAGATAATTTAACCACCTTCTTTCTTCTTTTTTTTTTGTTCATTATGGTTGACAAGCCCCTCCCTACCCTTGTCGTCGTCTATGACCACTTTTTCTCATTTACCACTGCTCCTTTTGTTCCTTAACTCACTATCACTTCTTTGTTTTCTTCCTCAGTATCACTGATAAAAAGCGATTAAATTGTCGATGTTTCATCAGCTATAAATTGATATCATTTGAAATATTAAAAACTTAATTAAAAAATTAAAATTTAGGTCAAGTTGGTAACTTAAAAATAATTCATCTTTTTATTTTTTTTCCATCGCATCACCTCTTTATTTTTCTGTACATTTTTTTCATAAAAAACAAAAAATACATCCCAAACAATCCCTTAATTTGTTATTAGGATAAATTCCAAAATTATTATTATTATTTAATTTTATTTTTGGTAATGACCCATAAAATGGAATAAAACTGATTGTGACGCAAGGAACCTAGGATGGATATCTCATACCCCCCACTCGGAAACTCACTCCTTTATTTTGAGCGCTCTTCTCTCTCTCTCTCTCTCTCTCTCTCTCTCGCAATGTGCGCTTTCAATTTGACGCTCGTCTCTCTCGAAAACCCCCAATTCAATACACAATAATAAATCTGGTTTTCTAGGGTTTTCAGGATCAATTTCGATCGAGCAAAGCTTGTTTATGGCTTCGAGTTCTCACCATCATGGTTAAAGCTCCATCTCGTTGTTATTCGTACCCGAACGTGTTGTTGATGGCGGCGCCGAGGAATCTGGTGGTGGAGGGAGGGCGATTGAAGGACGAAGAGAATGCGGAGGACTCACCCACGAGCAAGAAGCCGATTGGGGCCAAATTGGAGACCAAATTCCCGCTGAGTCGGTGGGAATTCGCGGCTGCTTTGGGTGTGTTTTTGATCTTCTCCACGGGCCTTTCCTGCGTATACTTGACAATGCCTGCTGCGGAGTACAGTCAACTTAAGCTTCCCCGCAACATTTCAGATCTGCGAGCGCTCAAGTAGGTTTTTTTTTTTTTGTTTTAGCTCCAATTTTATAATGTGGGATTGTTAATATTACCTATTTCTGCAATATTGGCGTTGTTTTTATTGTTTTGGTGATATTGCTTTTATGTTCAGATTTATGTTTGCTTTCTGGGTATGCTTAGAATCATTGAGCTGGGAATATTTTTTCAAAATTATTTTTGGGGCTCTTCCAGCTCCCAATTGTAATTTTAAGTTGAAATTTGGCCATAAATGTATCTTGGCTGGAAGAATTCTGCTGGTGCTTTAGCCAAATACATATTTAATTTTTTTTTTTTGGTTTAAGGTTGGAACTGCTAGCCCCTTTTATCTATTGCATATGCCTGTGATTATAGTGATAACATATCTGAGAGGGAGTCAATCCTCTGTAAATGGTTGAAGCTTATGATGTAAGCATTATGGTTTTTTTCGGTGGTTTAGAAAAGGTCAGTTGATGGTTAGTTTCGAAAAATGCTATATATTTACATATTTTTATTTGCTAATTTTGATCCACAAACAACCAAAAATTTAAAAACAAAAAGCAAAAAACTAGCACTAATTCAATGCAAAACAACCACTCAATTTATAATTTCAAAATTATTCAACACTATTTCGTCAATTATAAACAATTACATCACAAATGTCAAAAGGATTCAAATGCAATAATGATTTAATCATGCATAAAAAATATAGAAATCTCCAGTATTTTGTGTAAGAAGTAAAATAGCAACTTGGTGTCAACTTTCGAAAAATTTTGCACCAAAAAATTCACAAAACCAATGTAAATCGAAGTAGATATTAAGGAATTTAGCAAGATGAGATGGATAGTTTTTTTTTATATATAATTATTATTAAAAGAAAAGGGAGATATGCTCTTTAACTCAATGAATTTTAGGGCACACATTAGGGAAATAAAAAATCAAACATATCTGGGGAAGTTTTTTTTGGTTGAATTGGAATTTGAATTTACATCCTCTTGTTTCCAAATATTATATTTTGACAACCATATCACTTTTCTAAAATTACAATAAAACTCCAAATATGTCTTCTAAATGACACATAACATGTTTGTCCTTGAAGTGTCCCCCAACTTGTCTAGCAAATAATAGATCAATAAATAAATCTGATAAACCATGTGGCATATTCGACATGTGTCCCAACATGTTTGAGGCATGTTTGTGTTTGACATGTGTCATACACTACTATGGTGACTAAAATGGATTGTTCGTATTTCATAGGTTGATAGAGCATTGTATTTTAAAATTTGGTGTGGTATAATGTTGAATGACAATCTATGCTACACGAACTATTCTAAATGTAGGACGTATATTGGATATGTAATATGTGTACATCATGTGTAGTTGAACATTCAGCTAGAAAACATATTTAGTAATTAGAGGCAAGTTAGTTAACTATAAAATTGTGCATAAAACCTCTATATTATAGATGAAATGTTTTGTAGCACCTTGTGATCACTATTTTCCCACGGGAAATAAAAAGAAAATTATATTAATAAATATGAACATTTTGTCATGCCTCTTGTCCATGAACATGGAATTAGAAGAATTAGACATTTAGCCACATACTTGTGTCCCCATGTACTTGATAAAAATTATGTTGCGTGGGCTCGAGTATGGGCCTCGGGTGTGGTATGTGCGTGTGCGTGATTTATCTAATTCTCATGTCGATGGACATGGGACAAAACAAAATATTCTTATCACTTAATATATTTGAAGGTAAAATTGTGTTCACATTGTATCATAAATCATTTTATGCATAAATTAAGAGTTTATGCATATGGTAATCTGAAATTACTGAATATGCATGCTGGGTGAACACCCAACTACACATGTCAGACACGTTCCCTACTCTTGCCTAATGGTCGAGTGTCCGACATGTGGTATTTTTGTACATTTAGAAGAGTCTATGTGACATAAAGTGCAAGACTGAGAAGATGGTATATGCTTGCATCTTTTATTTGGGTGTGAGTGTTTTTACTTTTCAAGAGATATCAAAGGTTCATCTGCAATTATGTTGATTGCTTTTTTTTTTTTTTTCATTGAGAAATACAAACAAGAGAAAATATAAAATTTAAATGGGTTCAAAATTTGTAAAATTTATATTAATCATTAACAATTACATCATATATTTCAAAAAAGAGCATGAATTTACTCAAAAAATACAAAATTTTGATAATATTTTAAGAATAATTGATTCTCTTACTAATAAATATTAGCAAACTCGCTTTAATAATGATTCACATCTAATTCTTTATGTGATTTGACCCCCAAAAAAAGAAAAGAAAAAAAAAAACAAAAAGATTTGATATGTTAAGGTATATCAAACACAACTTGTGCATTGCATGGGTGGAAAACTAGTTAATAATATGATCATGTTATATAAACCATCCATTGGATTTTTTGTCTAGAATCTATGAAAGAATTTACACCTTATAAAATTGATTAGAAATCTGGTTCTCCAAGTTTTTGTTTCTTCGTTAAGATCCGGTTTAGTTGGGTCTTCATCTTTTTTTCATGCCATATGCAACAAATGTTATGCCTTGGCTTCTTCATCCAATTACTTTTTTTTTTTTCCTTTTCTTTTTTGAACTTTCAAATGTTCTATCTCATTTTCTTTTTATTTTTCAGTAATTAATATCTTCTCTTCCAAGTACTCTACAGTGTTAATCCAACTGAGGGTTCTTTATTACCTTTTTGTTTATTTTAGAATGTTCCGTTCTTAGATCCTTGAGATAGAGTGGCCAAACACTCACTGTGAAAGATGCAAGATGGGTTCCTACTAAGCCAAGAACGATAGGAACTACAACTAATAGTATGTTCAAATAAAGAGATAAAGGATGCTTGGTTCCTTAATTCTACTGCAATTTGTGATTGTGTTGACCTTCCAGTGTGCTTTCCCTGAATTATATTCTTTTGGATTTTGTTTCAGAGATCACCTTGCAACATATGCTAAAGCTTACCCAGCAGAATTCATTCTGGGTTACTGCTCAACTTACATATTCATGCAGACATTTATGATTCCTGGCACCATTTTCATGTCGCTGCTGGCTGGAGCACTTTTTGGTGTGATCAAAGGCCTTTTCTTAGTTGTCTTTAACGCCACAGCTGGAGCATCATCCTGCTATTTTCTGTCTAAGTTAATTGGAAGGCCTATAGTTAACTGGATGTGGCCTGAAAAGTTGAGATATTTCCAGGCAGAGGTATGTATTATTTTGTCATCACTTTTTCATCTTTTGGGAGACAATTGTACTATATCAACCATTTATCAAGTTATTTTATATGATTTCAATTTGTGATACCCTATTAACCTGGAACTTTGTTAATTCAGATATCAAAGCGCAGGGAAAAGCTGCTGAATTACATGCTTTTTTTGAGGATAACCCCTACCTTGCCCAACCTATTCATCAATTTGGCATCTCCAATTGTGGATATACCGTTTCATGTTTTCTTTCTAGCAACAGTAATTGGTCTTATTCCAGCCTCCTATATTACCGTGAGAGTAAGTCTTTTTCTGACTTTGATCGTCTCTATTTTATATGATACGAAAACTTCATCTTGCTATGGTAGTGGCTGGTGTTGTTTCTTTAGAGCTCGCAAAGCAGCTTCCTAACTTGGCTTTTTTAGGTTTATGCAGCATCTTAGTACACCTAAGATATTACCTTCGTGGAGCTAGTTCTTTATTTTCGGATATTAATCGGTGGTTTTGCATGCCAGTTCAATTAGTTCATTTGTCTTTCTGTGAGTCGGCTGGGCATGAGATGTCATTTCCTATCCATGTTAGTTAAAGACTTTCCTGTTGCTTTTTGAGACTCCATTGTGGTGTTTTAATGCGGAATCTATTAATATACAAACCTCTTTTGGTTGGCAATCTGACCATTAGATGATAGAAATGGGCTGATTCTTTTATTCCCACTCACACCACATAAGTAGACATTTTCTTACATAATTATGTACGAGGTAAAGATGAGAAAAGGTTGATGTTATAATCTTCTTTCATCTAATGATACCTTTCAATTTTACAGTTGTGGGTGAACTTTTACATAATATTGCACAAAGAAGGTATAGAAGGTCATACCTCTCAAAAACTGAGGGTATAGAGGGCCATGTTCTATTGAAGACTCTTGGATTAGTTTGATGTGTTAGTATGGTCTCCTTTGAGGTCCTACAACCTTTATCCACCAAACATCAACTCCTTTGTGAGCCAAATTGGCAAAACTTATTTGCACATTTGAAATTTCATGCTTAAGAAGTAGTATGTTGAAAAGCTAGGGTGTTTGGTAAAATTGTTCACTTAATCTTGCATTATAGAGCATTAGAGTTGTGGGACTTGAGCCTTGCGATGTTTGGAATGTAGTATGCCTGCCTTAGTGGATTAGTGAACTTTCTACATGCATAAGAGGAAAGAGGAGGAAAGCTTGTCTTTTGACCCCTTCATGCTTCATTCATGTTGATTATTTGAGGGGAATGTAATAGGACTTTTTGTGGAGTTCAGGAACCAATTGATAAGCTAAAGATTTTGTTTTGTTGCTATTTTGTGTAGTTGGTAGTTGTGTGTGTGTGTGTGTTTTGGACCAATTTTGGATTTTCAAATACTTTTTCTCAGGTCCTTTGAGGCCCATAAATAAATTTTTGGTTTTGTACATGGGTGTCATCCCCTTGATGCTCTTCCAATACAATTACTTATCAATAAATAAATAAATTGTAGTTTGTTTCTTGATCTAAGCACGTCGGTCTGATGGGAGAATTGTGAGGAATTTTTTCAATGTTCTACAAAGTATAGGCATTAAAAACCATGTGAACTCATTTAGCATTATACAGTAGTAACTTATGTTACCAGAATATGCTAATTCCTTGGCTAATTACGTATTGATGCGCACGTTCCAAAATATGGTATACTTCGTTTCAAAACTGTAAATTTAGCGATCTAAAACGATCCCAAAAGTTTTTTCCAATAAATTTCCTTAAATGTTTCCTTCGGAGGAAAAAATTAAATATAATGAATTAAAACTAAGGTAAGTTAAGTTTTGATAAGACAAAACATAAAAAATGGGTCATAATACTCATATAAATGTTTTGCTACATAAACCAAACCAAACCAAACCAAACGAAGCCTTAAGTCCCATCAAATGTTTTGCTACATGAAGAAAAAAAACTAATTTTATTAAATGCTTAATAGTTAAAAGATATTTACCCTAAAATTACCTTAAATTTGCAAAACATAAAAAATGGGTCATAATACTCATAAATGTTTTGCTATATGAAGAAAAAACTAAATTTTATTAAATGCCTAATAGTTAAAAGAAATTTACCCTAAAATTACCTTAAATTTGCAAGTATAAGATATACAAGTCTAATCCTATCATACCATATTTTAGAGCATGTGGCGTACCATGTTCCCGTTCACGTTTGCCATACTGAAACGATTCACGTTCCAGGTAACATAGGTCGTAACACTGCATGATATGGGCTGTTTAACTGTTTCATAAAGTTGAATATGAATAAGGAAGCTAGTTTCATTCTCCTTCTGGCACTGTAGCCTCATTGTTGTTTTTGCTGCTTTGTTAATTATCAGGCTGGCCTTGCTCTGGGGGATTTGAAGTCAGTCAAAGATCTATACGATTTTAAAACATTGTCCGTGCTTTTCCTTATTGGATCTATCTCTATAGTTCCTACTCTCTTGAAGAAGAAGCGAGTATACGAATAAGTTGTGTTGCCGGGCTCCCTTGTAATCCTCTTAACTGTGGGGAGCAGAATGTAGTGACTATTCTTGACCATTTTGCACAGTATAGTACTTGGGAAGTAATTGAGGGGCAAAAATGCCCTTGATTGATACAATCTCTACCAGCAGGCAAGAGGTTCATCTTTGCTGCTTGTACACAAGGTCGAAAGAAAGAGTATTCCTTCACAGATTTGTGCCTGTATATTTATTAATCAACATCCCTTTGTTGGGATTGTCTTCAACTTGGGGCATTAAATCTTCAATTGTTTAGGTATTATATACGTAAAATTGTTGATTGTGGCAGCTATAACAAGCAATTTCCCATTGAATTTTTTTGATTGGATGGTCATCTCATCAATATCATGTATTGGAAAAGATGGTTAGTTTTATGTATATATATATATACACACGTCTCCTTGTTAGATTTGGTGCAATATGTTTTTTACTCCTAACTTTTTGTGCCATGATTTTGGGAGACTAAACAAGATCTATTTTAAGTGGTTGAAGAGAATTTGCATGGTGTGATACACGTGTCGCATTTCTGGTGATTTGTGTGGTTGTAAAGTAAATATTCTTGCAGAACGATTGACATAAAGCAAAGGCGGGAAAATGATTATGTTTTTGAATTATTTTGAATGCGGAATCTTCGTCCTTATAAGTGGGCGACTTTGGCTATTTGTTTAGTACCAGAAAACATTTGATGACAGAAAAGAATATGCTTTTACAGTGGGATAGCTATTGTAGTGAAGTTGTTTTCTGGTACATTGTTTCGTCCCTAATTTTTTGTGTTTCTTTTTTGTTGATTGTATTGGTATACAATGTTGTACTATTTAGAAAGTATGTCGAGAATTACGGGCAGTTCACTCAAATGTGTGTAGATTGTTTTTTGATGTGGCAAATAGGATTTTGGAAAGAGAGCCGGTGGTCAGTTCTGGCGAAGTTTGTTCCGGTATACGAGGAGCGGAAGGAAAAAAGTTAAGGTGTCTGAGCAAAAAGGTTAGCAAAGGTAAGAGAATCTGCAGAATTTGTAGGATAAAAGATTTGGAATGTTTTATCAAAAATGGAAGGAGTATAAAGTAGTCAGTATCGGACTCCCTTTGCATACCAGAGGTCAAGGACATCGGCGACTAGTGAATATAAGTGTGGTTACCGTGGTCGTGCATCTTTTAAGGCGGCATACGTTCACAGACAGTATATACAGAATATTTCCTGATATATTTGTTGAAAGAATGTTGAAATGTGCGTTTTAATTTTTTTAGACAAAGTAATAGTATGGTGATAATTGAATTGTTGGTGGACCTGGTTGTTGAATCGCATAAAAACAAAATTTAAATTTCAAACTATATTGCAATAGATATATGATGTAGTATATATTTGGAAGTCGGATTAATCAATGCAGTAAAAAACTACTCTCCACCTACACAAGGATATGTACATTCTGCAACTCTCCATGCGAGTTGAGAGTAATTTCATGTGTAAATTACTAAGTAACAATGCTGATAAAAAATATATGATGATTAGAAAAGTCTAATTCTATTTGGGGGGAAAAAAAATGAAAAAAAAAAATATTTAAAGGAAGATAACAAAGATAGAGATCCTTCTTGGAGTGTATATTGAAAAAGTTAGCTAAAATATAAAAGCAGAATTTTAAACAACTATTTTGATTAGAATTGGTGAAGATGCTCTAAACTGTCAAAACTTTATACCAAAGAGCCCGAGTCCTCTGATTGCTTAGTAAAAAAAAACAAATAAAATGAATCAAAACAAAATGAAAGGAAAAAAAAATGCTTGTAGAAGTCATCCTGGGAAAAAGATTGATTTAGAATACAAACCGAGCAGCATGCATTTCTTTGATCCTTAAATATAAAAATTAAAATAAAATAAAATAAAATAAAAAAACAAAAGAGGGACTCAGCTACGATAAATTTCATGAGAGTTATTAGATGAATAGTTACCAAAGAAGTTTAGAATTAGACTGGACTTGTAGGTTTAGTGGTATCTATACTGCTGTATCAGACAGGGAATATGCTCATTAGGAAGAAAGAGCAGGAATTTCAACCTCACAAAGGAAGCACTATGATCTACTCGAAGATAGCTAGACAAACCCAACAAGGCTTCAGAAGCAGTGTACAAAATACACTTCCTCCCAAGAAACAACATACAAGTAGAACGGAGAGAAAAAGAATCTCTTGTATGCAAGTCATTGCATGGCATGAAATTAACAAAGTCCATGTAGGACTACGCAAGTGTCACGCCAGTGCCACTGGCGTGCTTTCATACCCTCTGATGCCCATTATTCTTATCCGAGCACGAGGCTGCACACACCATCATGAATAAGCATAAGATAACAGAACATGTTCCCAAGTATTTAATGCAACACTAGGGTTATGCAAATAATTCTAAGAAATTATGGAGATCTTGATACAAATATAACCTCAAACTTTGCAAAGTAATTCAAAAAAGAGATGATCAAATGTAACAGGAGTGAGAAAATATTCACCAGGCAAATTCTATGAATTGGATGAAGATTACTCCACAATCATAAAGAATGTGTGCTACTTTGGAAGGGTAATTTAAAAATTTTAAAAAAAAATAGAAAAGAAAAAAAGTAAACATGTCAGATATAAAGAAAAAAAAAAATGAGATAGGGGCTGTTTGGGGTACTTTTTGCTTATGGCTTATGAAGTAGGAAAAAAAAAGAAAGAAGCACTAATCATTGGGAAGCACGAAGAGAGGTGTTTTATCTTCTGATTTTTAATTATTAGTTTTCAGCTTGCTAAGTAGAGAGGAGATGGGAAATTATTTTAAATGCGGAATCTTCGTCCTTATAAGTGGGTGACTTTGGCTATTTATTTAGTATCAGAAAACATTTGATGACAGAGAAGAATATGCTTTTACAGTGGGATAGCTATTGTAGTGAAGTTGTTTTCTGGTACATTGTTTCGTCCCTAATTTTCTGTGTTTCTTTTTTGTTGATTGTATTGGTATACAATGTTGTACTATTTAGAAAGTATGTCGAGAATTACGGGCAGTTCAATGGTCTAAATACTTATGGTGAAACCAGTTTTCTTATGGTTGTTTAAATTCTAGAACAGTATGTCGCTATTATAGAAATAGATGTTGCTATTGTGGAACTAATATAGCGCTATGTTTATATTTTTATGAAATTAAAGTGTTATATATATTTTTTTGTTATTTAATTATGTGAATCCGTGGTCCTAAACCGATCCAATCCGTATTTAAATGGATTGGTTCGGATTGGTTCCATGATTTAAACGGATTGGATTGGTTCCAATTTTTTAGGAACCGTAAATAACGGATTGGTCCTGGTTTTATCCCAATCCGGTCCAATCCGGACCATGCTCACCCCTAGAAGACACAACCAAACATGCCCTTGTATTCCTGATAGGTACTGTTTTTATTTTTCGATGTATTTGCTTTTGGTTTTTTCTTTTCATATTTTTGGAAACAAAAACAATGAAAAGTTAAAATACACACACTTTTCATATCATTCTCATTTTCTTTTTCTTTGCAAAAATAGTTCTCAGAAATTTACAAAACAACTCAAAAGTGTGTCCTAAAAAATAAACCAAACCAAACCAAACCAAGCCTAGCCTTAAGTCTCATCAAATGGGGTCGGTTACATGAATCCTTCTTCTCCACGCGTCCCTATCAAAGGCCATTTCATTAGTCAAATTAAGTAAATTCATATCTCTATTTATAACGCTAGTCAACATTTATCAAGGCCTACCCCGTCCCCTAACACTTCCATCTACCGTTATAGCATCGCATCTCTTCACTACTGCCTCTGTTGGTCTCCGTTGAATATGACCAAACCATCTCAAACGATTTTCTCTCAACTTATCTTCTATCGGTGCTACTCATACCCATTTTCGAATACACTCATTCCTAATCCTATCTTGTCTAGTCTTACCACACATCCACCTTAGCATCCTCATCTCAGCCACACTCATCTTATCTACATGCTGTTTCTTGATTGCCCAACACTCCGTCCCATACAACATAGCTAGTCTAATAGCCGTTCTATAAAACTTACCTTTTAGTCTAGTGGGTATTCGTTTATCGCACAATACCCCAGACGCATTTCTCCACTTACACCATCCCGCCTTAATCCTATGGGCCACATTTTCATCAATCTCTCCGGCTGTTGTGATAATCGATCTTAAATAACGAAAATGTTCACTCTTAGGCAGTTTTTGGTTCTCAATCTTCATTTCTCTTCTGCTTTCATTGTTACTGTTACTAAATTTACACTCCATATACTCTGTCTTAGTTCTGCTTATCCGGAATCCTTTAGATTCAAGAGTTTTTCTCCAAATCTCTAACTTTGTGTTAACTCCTTCTCTAGTCTCATCCACTAACACAATATCGTCTGCAAAAAGCATACACCATGGCACGTCATCCTGAATATTTATTGTCAACTCGTCCATAACTAAAGCAAAAAGATAAGGACTTAAGGTAGATCTTTGGTGTAACCCTACAGTGATAGAAAATTCATTTGTCGCTCCAGCTGGCGATCTAATAGCGGTCACCACCCCTTCATACATGTCCCTAATCACGTCAATGTAGCCTTTTGTCACCCCTTTCTTCTCTAACACCCACCATATTATATCTCGGGACACTCTGTCATATGCTTTCTCAAGGTCGATAAACACCATATGAATGTCTCTTTTCTTTTCTTTATGCTTTTCTATTACTTTCCTCAAAAGATAGATCGCTTCCATTGTTGATCTACTAGGCATAAACCCAAATTGATTTTCTGACACCTCTAAATCGGCGTTCCATTACCCTCTCCTACACTTTCATTATATGACACATTAGTTTGATTCCTCTATAGTTGTTACAATTCTGGACATCACCTTTATTCTTATAGATTGGCACTAAAATACTATTCCTCTACTCATCTGGCATGTTCCTAGTCAACAAAATTTTACTAAACAACCTAGTCAACCAAGCAACTCCCTTTTTACCTAAATACTTCCAAGCTTCAATAGGGATATCATCGGGTCTTAAAGCCTTATTTGATTTCATCTTCTTAAGTGCAATCTCTACTTCAAAGTTCCTAATCCTGCGATAGAACCTATAGTCTTGGTTTATCGTATTACTGGTTATTTCTTCCCCTATTGTCGTACTTCCATGTTCCTCATTTAACAGTTTCTCAAAATAATTCTTCCATCTTTCCTTAATCGCATCATCCTTCACCAATACCTTAGAATTCTCACTCTTTATGCACTTTACTTGATTAAAATCTCTT